TTGGTGCAGACTCAGGGACGGCCCACTCGATTTCCGGCTCTGTGTCTTTCCCTTCTTCTCTCCAGGATGCTTCCGTGCAAGTCCCAGCTTCCTGCCCTCCAGCCCTGGAATCCACACCATGTCCCCTCAATTCCATGTTTTGGTCCTGCGCCATCTTCTTACATGGGGACCTCGCCAGGGAGGTAGGTTGGGGAACTCCTCGGGCTCCCATCATCGCTTCCCTTCTTTGGGGATTACAGTCCTGCAGTACTTCTGGTCCCTGTATTTATCTGACTTTCTAGTCAATGAAGTCTGGGGTGGAGCTCTGATCCCATTATTTCTTTGGAGCTAGAAGTGAAAGGCTCCTTATCTTTAACACTTGATTCCAGAAAGATTTCCCAACTGTGCCAGTTTTCTTCTCTGACAGACGGGGTGATGGCCACTGGACCCTCACTCCTGAGCATGGGAGCCAATTAAAATAACTCTCACCAATGCTGTATGGAACAACTCGATTCAGATTTACAGCCAGCCCACAGGGCGATTGTCTTAGCTCCTTTCTAAAACACATATGCTGGGTAGTTTATAAAGAATGAAAAGTAGGTCACAGTTCTGGAGGACAGGACGTCCCAGGGTGTGGCCCTCATACCTGGTGAGAGCACTCTGCTTGTTTCATCCCAGGGTAGACTGAGCATGCGTGCCAGCTCAGGTCTCTCTTCCTGTCTTATAAAGCCACGAATCCCATCTTGGGGCCCACCCTCAAGACCTCATCTGGTCCCAATTACCTTCCGAAGGTGCTTCCTTCATACACAATAAGCATGCAGATGTAAGGATTGGGTTTGCATCCTGTGAGCTTAGGGGACACATTCCAACCACATCAGAAGTGTGGTCGATTTTATTCCCACGGACTGATTCATGAAGACCAAAATGGAACTTGGGCACATGTCCTCTGACTTGTGATATCACATACCAGGGTAACTTCCAAACACAGAGACGATCAGGTGGAAGAGCTGAGAGATCAAGACCTAAAGGAAATGCACAGCTGTCTACTTACACCTGTGTGTGAACGAAAGCTTCAGGTGACCGTGAAATGCTGCCACTGTGGGATCTCTGATGCCAAGCACACCCCCAAGTGAGCCCAGTAATGTGCTCCTCCTTCCACCCCACAAATATCTACACCCCGATGAGCACATTTTTGTATAAAGCCTTCCCTCCCTTTCCCATCTTTAATTATTGCTTTAAGATAGAGTTTTTAGAACCAGAAATCAGGGATGATATTTCTGTATATTATGAATATTCTTTAGAGATATTCCAGGAAACTTGGTTTCCACCAGAGGAATATGAGAATATCCATTCCATGATATATTTACTGTGATTCAGATCATTATTTTTGTAATTTCATAGGCAAAAAAAAAATGGGCTTCTACTTTACTGTATTTTACTGTATTTTTTCCTTACTTTTGGTGTGGTTGTACATTATTATCAAAATTTATTAGGAACTTCCTTGTATTTTTTTGTTTTAATGATTTTTCTTTGTCCTGTAGAAGATAATTAAATATTAAGAATATTCACCACATGCACGTATGTGTGTATATACATATGTACGCACATATACCCATTACACACACATATACACATAAACACATATGTGTATCTATTGCAGTGCTTGGGACAGAACCCAGGATCTCAGTGAGGCTCTACCACCTAATTACACTCCCAGTCTTTCCATAGCAATTTCAACTACATATTTTTGTGCAAAAACTGGAAGTTGCCTTAGAGAATCCCAGATATTTAAGTGAGCAGATTAAGGAGAAAAAACTGATCCTAAGCCTGCATGAAATAAACCTCTCTGTTGTCAGCCGAGTGTGTCCACCAAGTCCCCTGTCCTCCAGGTTGTACCCTGCAGGTAACTGGCCTCTCCTTGGCTCAATTACACCCTCCATTGCTGAGTAACTCCTGCCGTTTACTGGGGTTTGAAGCATAAACAAATGGTAACCGTCTCTGTCTCATTGTCATCTCTCTTCCCTCCCCAGCAGACTCCTTGCAGCATCAAGCACCACAGCACTCACAGGATGGGACTGCAAGCCATCTGCCACTGTGCGGAGAGCACCGTTGAGAAGAAATCATGTGTGGATTAAGGGCTGTCTCCTTCTGCCGCTTACACAAGCACATCCCAGATTCGGGCTGCAATGTAAATGAGGAGGTAAGCTAAATGCTGGGGCCGTTCGAGTTGCATGAAATTAGTACTGTGTGGTTGCCCAATTCCCCCGAAGGGACCAGAAGGAGCAGCTTTGCAATGGAGATCTCAGTGGAATTTTTAAAATATAGGATGGAGAGGAAGAGCAGGTGCTAGCAGTTAATCAAGGCAGAAAGCTAAACACAGAGAAATAAAAGATGTGTTCAAAATCTGTCTCACATGGCCATATCCTGCCACGTGAAAAAAACCATCCACCATCCATTAATCCATTTATTCATCCATCCATCCATCCATCCATTTATTTATTTGTCCATCCATCCATATATACATACATATATATCTTCATCTATACATCCATCTGTTTAATCCTCCATCAATTCATCCATTTCTTCATCCATCTATCCATCCATCCATTTATTTGCCCATCCATCCATCCATCCATCCATCCATCCATCCATCCATCCATCCATCTCTCCATCCATACATACATTAGTTTATTCATACATACATACATACATACATCCGTCCAACCACCCATTGGACACTCATGCGTGACATGCTCAGTGGGGAGTGGTGGCCCTGGGGGTGTAGGCACAATGCTGTGGATCTTTCTAGACGAGCAAACAAACCATGTGGCACCATGATGACAACACACGCCCGGCCTTTGCAGCTCACAGCTCAATTTGAATCCTAGACCAGGAAGGTCACAAACCATGTGACCTTGGGCTTTAACTTTTCAAGACTTATATCTAAAATAAGAATAAATCAATGCTCTCCAAGGAGCTCATGTGAGGATTCCGAACACAAGAGAGCGACCTCAGGGCCTGTATTCCATAGGTGTTGATGAAAACAAAGGCCTGCCCAAAGCACAGTGAAAATTCAGAAAAAGAAGCCATTTGCAAAAGGCCCTGTTTGGATTGGATTTTGAGGGAAATGTAGAAGCAGGAGCTATTAACATGTAGGCAGAGCTGTGAACGTGCACAAAGTCTAAGAGAATGAAAGAGCCAAATGTCTGGGTTGGTGGTTTAAAGAAAGCATTCATGGAAGGTGAAAGGTCACCAGAGAAGTCTGGTTGATGGGTGGTTGTTAAGGTCTGTAAACAAGTCAAGATGGCGCCTGGCATTTTGCCAGAGGGAGTGGTTTGTGAAGTAACGCCAGCGAGCCATTAAGTGTGGAGATTCCTTATTGGTTGACTGCTGTATCTAGTTTATGTTAATTAAGATAAGCTGTGTGGAATGTATATATACCGCTCCTGTCCTACAATAAACGGCTCCCACTCCTGCTGTATCAATGTACACAAGTTGCTCGTCACCCCTGGTTATTTTGCTGCAGCCGGACTGAGGCAGGCCGTCAAGATGGGTGGATGGAGTTAGGGTTCACAGAATTCCCCTCTAGGTGGAGCAAGCCTAGAGAGGCAGATGAGTTTGTCGGTGCACCACACAAGGATTGGACCTTTAGAAAGACTCATGGTTGACCCAGCTCTTGATAGACTAATGTATACCATTGACAAGCTTCTCTAGCTGCAGGGATGGGGTACTTACATCAGCATATCCGCACATTGTCCCACTCAGGTCCCCGGAAGATGGCTTCTTGAGGCACACTTACTCATAAGCGCTCTCTCTCCTGGACAGGGGGGTCGCCAGAGGCAAGGATGCCTCTCAGAATCTTCACCACACCATCCTATAACACTCTTGTAGTTGGAACTGTGATCATGCATCAGTTGATTGATATTTCCCTAAATGGTGATTAAGCTGGTCAGAAGCCCGTGGGACCCTGTGTGTCCTTGCTCTGAGCCTTAGCTCTGCGGCCCTTCCCGCATCCCCTCTTCCTAGGGCAGCGTCTATCTTTAGGGGACACAGGGCAAGCACTTCTTAAGGATTAACGTGCGAGTAGGCTCATGGTCGTCCTGTTTTACACCGAACCTTCCTGAAGGCTGCCTCCTGTCCAACTGGACCCTTTTCCTCAATGTACCTCCCACAACCTGGGGACCTAGAACTTAGAGACTGTGGGACCCTGGGGGGAGGCCTGGTGAGGGGAAGCTTGGAGCCTGAAATTCTTCTGTTTAAGCCAAGGAATAAACACCAGGGAACTAAACTGAGGGGGGTTCCCCTGCTGAAGTAGCCACAGGGGTGCCTCAGGGTACAGTGGTGCGACCTTCTGATAAACCCTTGCAAGCTGAACTCATGGAAAGCCGAAAATGCTTCCAACACACTGTGGCATTGGCCTGCAGCGGGGCCAGCATCCCACACGAAGCCCCTCTTACCCTCAAGGGCCAGATGCTTTATGCACTTGACCGATGCTGAGACTGGAAGGCGGAATGCTCCCCTCCTTGCCCCTGCACCACTGGACGGTCAAACAATTTAGTTACTTTGGGAACCACTTGTGCCTTCTTCTCCTCCCTGGTTGGGTGATCCCAGCTCCTCCTGTGCACCGCCCTGCCATCCTGGAGAACAGCAGTTCCTCTTGTGTGGTCCCCAGGCCAGCAGCCGCAGCCTCCCCTGGGAACTAACTCCTGGGCCTTGGAATGGGGAACCCTGGGGGCAGCAGCTATCAGTGTCCTAAGAAGCCCCGAAGGCCACTCAGATGAAGGAGTGATTTTGGTGGGATGGGCTGGAATTTGTCCCAAAGATCTGATGTTGTTCTGAGGTGCTAAATGCAGTGGCAAGGGTAACGGCACCATTACTAAACAGACACTTACTGGGGTCCCACCGTGAGCCAGTCCCGGAAGACCCCTGCCTGTCAAGTGGCTGATCTTTACAACGACTGTTTAGGTATTTGGGATTACACACCATTTATTGGTTGACCTTGGATAGACGGGTACACAGTAGGCAATTCACAGGTGTTTATTAACAAGAAAATGAGTGACGGCTGCATCTTTTCTTTTTCTCCCTGAGATTCAGATTTCAAACTGTGAGAAAGAAGGAACTGGACTTGAAAATTCATCCCCTGGGCCCCCTCTGGGTTATCCCAGCAAGCCGGCTCTGATATGAGAGAAAAACCCTGCAGGTGGGGTAGCCAAGAAGACACGCGCGTCTCCGTCTGCTGCCTGTGGTCACAAATATGCAGAGAATTCTGGGGCACAGCTCCATCCATGAAAAAAAAGGGGGGGTTCCCCTGATTGGTGTAGTGATGAGGTCACCAGGGACCATAACAGTCACAGTCACAGTGAGCACTGTGGGCAGGTGGAGCTGGGCACTCTACACAGGCTCTTGTGTAGGACCCTCCCGACCTTGGAGGGCGTCTCTGTGATTTCTCTACCAGGGCTGAAGGCACCAGGCCAGAGAGCCATCGAATCGGCTGAGTCCACACACGTGGTAAACAGGCAAACTGGGATTCACACGGGGGGTGACTCTAAGGCCACGTATGTTTTCACTTCAGCTTTAACTTGAAACCAATGTCAAGCAGATAAAAGCAGAAGGAAACTTATGCTCTGTAGTGACCAGAAGGGGAAGACAGCCCCCTGAGGCTTCTGTGGCTTATCGATAACAGATTGCAGGTGAGGGAGTGGCCTTTCAGGACAGATGCTCTACAGGGAGGGAGCGTCCTGAGCAGGTGGACTCCATGTGCCTTCATGTGTCGGGCCCTAGCAGACATCCCATGTACAGGCCAGAGGCCCTGGACAAGCCAATTAACCTTTATGAGCTTTAGGAACATTTGGCCCGTGAAATGAGGGTCATACCTTTAATGACCACCTTACATGGCCATCAGGAGGGTCCAGTGGAAACAGTCATAGCACAAGTAAAAACGGTACCTGCAGGAGCTGTTCCCAGGAAGTGGGCTGGTGCTGCCGGCCAGACAAGCCAGGAAGCTGGCCAGGGATGGACCCCAAGGAGACCCTCCAGCCAGACTGGGAAATCCCACCAGTTCTGCAGACAGGTGAGAGGGGATACCCCCTGCCGAGTGGGGGACCAGCCCGTGCAGGGCAGGAGGCCTGGAGTAGAGTGTCCCCAGCAGTGACTGGCTTGTCCACATGGAGGGTGAGATGTGGCCAGTGGATGAGAAACAGGTGCAGGGAAGAGAGGAGATCGAGGATGCTTCTGGTATTTTCCATGACAGTGACTCGAGTTGTCATACTTCTACTGAAGTGAAAACAGAAACATGGCCAAGGCAGAAATGGGGACATGTTTCTGTGGTCGCCCTGGGCCAGCTGCAGAGCACTGTCCAGACGTAACTCATGGCTGCGGCCACCGGCGCTGTCAAGTCTCGGCAATCCAGGGGCCGACCTTAAAGATGGCACGTGGTTTCCAACAGCTGTAGGAAATGCCTTAAAAAAATAAATAAAAAAGCTTATCCGCGGGAGGAGGGAGGCTGTCTCCATCCAAATGGAGGGTGATTTATTACCATGAGTAATCGATAGTCGTAGGTCCACATCAATTTTATATCTAATTTAAAATTTTGAGGTCTCAATGTGCTCATTAAAGAATATAATGGATTTACATATTTTAATTATGTTTTATGGATTGTGAACATAATGTAATTAAGAGACTTTTCAGGAGGCGTGATTAATGAACAGGGTGGCCGACATATGGTAGGAGGCACCACACCGAGTGGACTTGGGTGAGAGGAACCCGGCCCACAGCTGACAGCTCAGGCCAGAGCTTCAAGACACTGTTCACGGTGATCGGAGCCTAATGACACTGCATGGCAGGAGCCAGGGGACCCAGAGAGAGCAAGCCAGGCCAGCAAGAGGTGATCGCTGTATGGGCAGGCATGTGCGAGCCTGCGGGCGGCTGCAGGGCCTCCTTCTGTCCCTGCAGGCCTTTGTACATGACCCTCACCTTCTCATGGCTGCTGCCTTAGTTAGTAGCCCCACTGATTTTTTCATCTTATTTTTAATTGTGCTAAAAAACAACCCAACAGCATAAAATGTACCATCTCAACTATTTTTACTATGCACTCAGTGGTGTTAAGTAATTGCACAGGACTGGGCAGTGGGTCTTCCACTTGGCGTAATATCCTCCGGGTTCATCCCTCCTGTCGCAGGTGACGGCGTCCCCTTCCCTCAAAGGCTGACCAGTGTCCACGCACCAGTGTGCGCCTCCTTGTTCTTTTCCACTCATTCCCTGGGGACACTTGACAGCCCCTGGGCTCCTCCCACCTGCTCTCCCTGGCTGGGGCTCAGGACTCTAAGGCACCCCCAGACAGCCTGCAGGAGGAGGTCTTTCCACAATCATGTGACCCTTCCCTGTTTAAAATCTGTCCATCTTCAGCCTTTTGTCACTCTTTGGCTGATATCACTCTCAAGATCTGGTTCCTATGCCGGGCATTTCTGTCCTTCAGCCTGGGGGTCCATCTGCCCGCTGCTCAGACCCATCTACTTAGGGCTCAGCACTTCCAAAGTCACTTGCACCTTGGCACACCGGGCTTCTGGGCCTGAATTGTCTGAGTCCACTCTGTGAGAAGCCTTTCTGGATCCACCGTCCCCTAGGCCACCTCTTAACCAAGTAAAGGAGAGTCCAGCTCACTGGTTGGATAAATAAAGTTTTATTGGAACACGGCAACGCCTGTTCTGTATTCCTATATTGCCTGTGGCCGCTGTTGCATTACAGCTTAAAGCTCTTTAAAGAAAATGTGTACTGACCCCTGCTCTAGGCCATCTCTTGTGTTCAAGTTCAACTCTGCTACTCCCTAGTGGTGACCTTGGGTAGGGAACCCAGCATTCCTGGAAGTCACTCAACAGGGGGAGAATGGTAACAGCCCAACACAGGCTTGTGACAAAGAATGAGGTAAGATACCAGCAGTCCTTAGATGGCAGGAGGGTCACAAAGGCCACAAGAGTGTCCAGGTTGGATTGTCAAGCAGACCCAGTGCAATCCTATGGCTCCAACTTTTCCCGGTGTGGGATGTACAGTTCAAAATTTGGGGGGGGGGTCGTCAAATTCCAGATCACACCTATTTTTAACATGAAATTGGAACCTTGATTTTTCCATGAGCAGAATGAGGGAAATAATGGCCAACCTTGGGTTTATTGTGGGATTAAAAGCAGTGGACACTGTGGTATGATTTATGGGTTAAAGACATCCTGCCTGCCCCAGCAGAAAGTAGACCCTCCGCACAGGGCACTTCCTCTCTCCCTCCCCTGGGTGTGTCTGCTGAGGGTGAAAGGTCCTCCTGGGCCGAGGCTCTCAGGAGGGCACCTCTCCTTTCTCAGGGTCCTTGTACTTGCCTTTGACACTCTGGGCTGGGATGCAGGAGTCCTGTCTTCAGATTTCCTAGTGTCCTCTAGGGGGAGCTCAAGACCTCACCATCCTGCAGGCCTGGGCTTAAGGCAAAGAACCAAAACATGCTTAGCAAATATTTGTGTGAAGGGACAGATCCCTGGAGGGGTGGGTGTCAGGGGCAGGGGTACAGACTGGCTACTGTGGCCTTGAAGTCTATTAAAATTCCATACCTGTGGATTCTCTCTCCATTGCTTCCTGTTTGGTTCTGGGGACACAATGTCCCCTTGCATGGTTGGGGACAAATAGAGCCTGAGCTTCACCCTCGGTCCACACCTGGCGCAGTGTCCAGGCCACTTGCTCCAGGCCCTGCAGAGAGACATTGTTGCCTCAAAGTATTTTCCTTCGTTTGTCTTTACCTTGGCTTGAGCTCAGAGCGGGGAGGCCTTCAGAGGCACAATCAGAGTCCTTGGAAAGGGGCCAAGGACGCCACTGAACCTTGGTTCTTTGGGCAAAAACATCCTGGTGACATGTAAAATGTTTATCTGGTGATTATACAAATATTGAACAAAAGTTCCAAATCAGAATACAACCTTCCTTAGCCTAACCCTTCCCTTGGTCTCCTGAGCCTTCACCCTGTGCTATGTGATGGGTCAAGGAGGTTGGGAACGGGCTTCCAAGAGGGATGGTCTCATCGGCAGCAGGCACCAGGGCACCTCCTCCCAGCAGGAGAAGCCTCATTTGAGTTTTGAGCAGGAAGGCAGAGTATCATTTATGTGGACGGGACATAAATCCCACCCAGGGAAGGGCCTGTACCTAGGGAGAGGGTCACAACAAAGCCTAGGATCCAGAGCGCTGAGGTTAGAGATGGCTGAATCTTAGGATCTAAGGAGGAGAGTTGGAGGATAAGACCCAGAATCAGACAGGCTTCACCTGATGGTGAGTCTGGTCATCCCTCAGTGGACACTTTTTGAGCATCTCTTCTGCATACTGTGTCTAGGGCTACGCACCAGTGAACAGACAGACTCATGGCTCGGCTTTCAGGAGCGTGGCTTCAACTGCACAAAGTAGAAACGACTCCACCCACCCAAGGGTATTGGACAGTTATTAGAGGAAATGGCCAGGATCCTGATCAGAGTAGGGATCTAGAAACTAGGGTGCAGGACTAAGGCAGAGTGGGAGAGATGAGCCAGGGAACAGGTTCAGAAGGTGTCTCCGATTGCTATGGGTTGGGTCTGGAATGTTCTTCAAAACCTCATGTGTTGAAGGCACGGTCCCCGGTGCAGCCAGGTTCACAGGTGCCACTTTTAGCTAATGATTGGATCATGAAGGGTCTGACCTCATAGAGGATTAATCCACTTGGTGGATTAATTCATTCACAGCAGGATGGACTACTGAGAAGTGGGACCTAGTCAGGGGAAGTGGTTTGCTGTGGGCATGCCCTAGGAGGACTTACCTTCCCCATGCTCCTTGCCCTCTGCGTCCTGAGCAGCTGGCCTCTGCCATGGTGCTCGGCCTCACCTCAGGGCAATGGTGTTGGCTAACCAGAGACTGAGCCTCTGAAAACGGGAGACAAAATAAATGTATTCTGCTCTAAGTGGCTCTTGTCAGGTATTTTGGTCCCCGTGATGAGAAGCTGAGTAACACGCAGATGTAGATTTCAGAAGTATATCTGAAAGAGGTGGGTAATGTTTTGTAGCCAGTTGAATGCAGAGGTTAGGGATGAAGAACTGGTCAAAGAGACAAAGGGGTCGAGTTTTAAGAACTGGGCACATGGCAAGGTGCACCAAGACAGGCAACATAGAAAGTGGATTGGACTTTCAGTGGGAGGGAGGGGGAGGACTAGGCCACGTTGATCTGGCCATGCCGATGCACCTACAGAAATCTGTCTGCAAAACAGCTGGACGTTGTCTGAGGCCCAAGATGCTCACGTGCAGGGGTGAGAGATACACATTTGTAAGTCAGAGGGAATTTTCTCCAAGCAGGGTAAGGAAGAAGGGTTAGAAAAGGCAACAGGAAATGTCACTCAGAAAGGGAGGGGTGTGTCTGAGAGTGTGCAGTCAGGGGAAATGGAAGTAGAGAAACTTGAAGGAAGGAACATGCTGTGGTTTGGATCTGGAATGTTCCAAAGACCCATGTGTCAACAGCTTGGTCCCCAGCCCATGGTGCTGTTGGGAGGTGGTGGAAGGAAGGTAGGTCATTGGGTCTGTGCCCTTAAAGGGGACATTGGGACCCCAGCCCCTTCCTGTCTCTCTCTCTTTGTTTCCTGAATGCCACCAGGTGAGCAGCTTTGCCCCACCACATGCTCCCCACCAATACGTTCTGCCTCACCTCAGACCCAAAGCAATGGAGTCAACGGCCCCTGGAATGGAACTTCTAAGACTGTGAACCCAAACAAACCTTTCCTTCTTTAAGTTGATTGTCTCAGGCGTTTTGTCACAGTGAGGAAAAGCTGACTCACTCGGGGTGGTTGAAGGCATCAATTCCATGGAGAGATCTGATCCCCAACCAGAAAGGACATTGGTGGCTGAGGCAAGCTGCCATTGTCATTGATGAGGTGGATACCATATGGCCACCCATTGAGGGACAAAGAGGAAGGTGTGGAAAACAGGAACTTAGGAGAACCATATAAAAACGTTGATGGTGGGGAAGAGGTTTAGGCTGGTTTCTTGAAGGATCAGATGGTCATGAATAGGAAATGTGTGTTTTTAATGAAAAGTGAGTTGCTACTGTTAAAACATTTCCAGTACCTCTAAGTAGGAATTTGGACCAAAACAGTTGTTTTCTTGGGTACATCTGCTCAAATACTGGCAAGAAGTGGTGTAAGGTTCTCGATGGGCATCTCTCATCTGCTAACATGTAGGCCACACGAATATCTGCAGACGTGCAAATACTCAGAGTGTAGAGTGACCTTTGAAAGACTAATAAATTGTGCCCGGGGATGGCCTTTGTTCACTAATGGAGACCTGGGGCAGATGGAAACTCTGCTCCATGACTTTTGTGCCACTTACTGGTTGAGGGACAATGAGAGAGCTACTTACCCTGAGTCCCACTTAATTTATAAAACGGCAACAACAATCACATTATGAGGATGTATTTGGAGAATTCCATTCTGCGCTATTAATTTCCTCGGAGCCTGGCAGAGTTAGGCCCTCAATAAATGTGAGCCCTCTCTTCCCCCCCCCGCCCATCAGCATTTGATTACCCGCATTTGATTACTTTGGCCTGAGCCAACTCCCTCAACAAATGTTTCCACCTTAGATTAAAATTAATTCAAAGACAGGGACCGGCATCACATCCTGTAAGGGACTAAGAAAATGGCATTAATTTTGTAAATTAATAAATATGCAAATGGAAGCTTTGTACAGAATAGGCTACCTAAGCAGGAAGTCAATGGCACTGTAAATTATGCGTCACCATATGGAGCAGACACCCTTGACTTAGCATGCAAGACAGGAAGGCTGGCGCAGACCCTGCCCGAGTGGCTTCCTAGAGTGAGTGGCAACCCCTGGTGCTGAGTCACTGCTGATCCTGGAGAGGCAGCTGGAGCCCCGTGGTGAGCAGGCTGCTACCCAGCCACTGCTGAGAACAGAATGGGGAGGACCCCCGAGGCCACCAAGAGGAGGGCCCACCAGGGTCTCCCACCAGGCGGCCCCCTGTGCCCTAGGCACCCTGCTCAGGGAGGTCATGGAAAGGGAGGGTTCTCCCCTTCCTACAGCCTGAGCCCGTGTGGCTGCAGTTCCAGCTTCCAAGCAGGTGTGACTGGCCCGGGGAAATGTGCACAGCCGCTAGATTGAGTCATCAATCATTAAAGAACAAATAGTCTAAGAACGGTGCAGGTGTTCCAAGCTGTGCTAAATAGATGCTGGAGGGCAGCTGTTCCCTGTGATGACTGCTCAGGACCAGAATCTGGGGGAACTTTTAAAAAGTAGATTCCTACCCAGGTGCTGTAGTGCATCCTGGAATCCCAGTGACTCAGGAGGCTGAGACAGGAGGATTGCAGGTTGGAGGCCAGCCTCAGGGATTTAGCAAAGCTGAAAGGAACCTAGTGAGACTCTGTCTCGAAAAAAAAAGGGGGGGCTGGGGATGTGGCTGCATGGTTTAAGCACCCCTGGGTTCAATCCCGGGTACCAAAAAAGGAAAAAAAAAGCTTTGTCAAGCTGGGGCAATGAGCCTGGCCATGCCATGGCCCTCTTTAAAGGGCAGGGGACACTCATGATCCAATCATGCCCCACCTGTTCCTAGAATTGAGGTGACCCCCAGAATTGCATAATCAACTTCAAACAGGCTCTAGGCACAAAGTTGGGGTGCCCATCGATGCTCCTGGGGAGGTTGAGAGCGCTCACTGCCGGGCTCCTCTTAGGATCTTTCGCACCCTGCGCACAGCAGAGGCCTGGGGATCTGCATCCCAAGGCTCCCGCAGGAGGGTCTGGCTTGGCTTCCTGCTTCTGTGGTATGCCCCCAACGGAGGGGTCCTGTGCAGCGTTACACATGATGGGAAGTCACGAAACCTCATCAGAAATCAGTTCAACAGCTGTGGCTTGTGATAAAAGCGTGTTATAAACCCGTCAGACATTCTTGTAACAGCGCGGGCCTCGCCGTCACCATGATGTGCCAATAATTCCTGCCTGCTTCATGTTCAGGGCTGTACGACCTTGGACATGACCCCTCTAGCCTCAGTTTCTTTATCTCTAAAACGGGAATCATAAGGAAACTGACCTCGGGGCGGCTGTGAGGGGTAAAGGAGGAGGCGCATATTGAAGGCAGAAGGGGCTTCAGGCAGTAACTGGGGGAGGTGATTAAGAGTTGCCCCAGCCAACAACTCTGTGCCCACAGAAGGTCCGCTGAGTCCGGCTGCTGCGTCTGCCCTCAGAGTCCCCCTGTGCTCCATCTGGCAGATTCCCAGCCCTCTCCACAGCCCGCGATCCTTCCCCCACATCTCGTCTCAAGGATAAACATCCCCACGGGCCCCGGGAGCTGGCTGTGCCTGCTGTCCCCGGAGATAGCTCATTTTACAGCTGGGCAAACCCAGCATGCAAAGTTCACGTCCTTGTGAAGTCACACAGCTACAGAAATGTCTCGATGGCAGGTGGCAAAACGGCATTGTTATCACCGATAATCACTCCTCGCACTAATCAGGCTCCGTCTAGCTCAGGCGGTATCACACACAGGGGCTCCCACATCTGCTATCTCACACGGCCGGCCAGCATCCTCGCGTGGGGCCACATCACAGGGTGACCCGGAGGCCAGCTGCAGACAGCACACTGTGTGTCTCAGAGCCCTGCTATACTCGTCCTCTCCCGGGACTTTCTCACACGCTCAGGAGATGGAAAGGGCAGGGGCCAGAAGAAGAAACCAGAGACAGAGAGGGCAGGTGCTGGTGAAGATCCTGTAGTGCCAACCACACAGTGGAGGCGCCATCTCAGACCCAGTCCCCTCGGCACCAGGGTTCCTCCCTGGGTAGGAGATCCCACTCACTTCTTTTCTAAACAGATGGATTTTTTCTTCTTTTCCTTCTAGGAAAAGCTCTTATAGAACTGGCAAGTGGCAGCGTAAAACTAGCAAATACAGGAGCAACATATCCTCATCTATAAGAATTACACAGTGGCCAGGAGGACCGCTTGTGCCTGAGTGTGGTCACTGTGTCCTTTGGTCAAGGTCAAGGTACCTCAGAACACCTGTGTGCACCTGTTGACCAGCACAGAGTCCAGGAACATGCACGCAGGGATCAGGGCAGGCAGGATGGAGACCGCGGCTCAGGACAGCAGCCCAGGCTGCGCACTTTTTCCAAGCAGAAGTCAGGAGGCAGGGTCCCCTGCAGACTTGCTTCCTTTCCCTTCCAGTTGGAGTGGGTTGTCATCAACCTGTCAGCCTCTCTAGCAACCCCTGATGGGGCGTTGGCTGGCCTGAAATTACCTGAGAAAAAGAAGACACACTAAATCGACTCGGCCTCGTGTGCCTCTGGCACCAGAGAGGGACTGCTCAGGGCTGGGGAAGCGTTGGCCATGCTGGACGGGGTCGCTGCACGGGGGCTGGGATGGGGTGAGGCAAGGTGGTAGGTGGGACCACGGCATCGGGGTCCCTGGGTATGGCCTCTACACGTGGGGAGAGAGGGAGGCAGGAACTTGGGCAGCAGAGTCACAGGATGGGGGGACGGTGCAGGGAGGTCTGTGGCTGGTGGAGGCCAAATGCATCCATGGTCATTACTCCAGCGGCGGCCACCTGGGGGACGGAGCAGGGCCGCCTCCACCAGCGTCTGTCCTTTCTCTTTGTATGAAGTGCTGAGAATCGAACCCAATGCCTCACACAGGCTAGGCAAGCTCAAGGAAGGTACCGATAAGTCCTATAAACCCGAGTGGCCATTTCCTTATACATTTATTTATATATTTATACCAGGGATTGAACCCAGGGATGCTTAACTCCTGAGCCACATCCCCAGCCCTTTTTTCATTTTTAATTTAGAGATAGGATGTCACTAAGTTGCTGAGGCTGGCCTCCAACTTGCCATCCTCCCGCTTCAGCCTCCCAAGGCACTGGGAAGCCATTTTCTTTGGTTCTTAGAAGCTTTTTGTTTTTGTTGTTCTCGATCATCCCCTTACCTTATGCAGGGGCACACCATCGACAGGCGCATATACACAGACACATGACTGACACACAGACACACACACATACACACACACACACACACACCATGGTTCTCCCTCTTCCCCAAACACAGCTTGAGAACTTTGTTTTATTAAGTGTCACTTTTGATCTTGTTTTCTATTTACATGTTTGTTAAAGAGATCTTATTTCCCTCAGGGCACAGTCTTTGATGTGACCCCACCGCTGTAAGGTGGATATAATGAGGGTAGAAAAGAAAAACCCGAAGAAGAGTCTTATAGGCAGAGCTACTTGCCCCCCTACCCCACCCCGAGTTCAGACGTGGAGAGCTTTGCCCCTGATGGGATCCTGATTGGACACAGGCGGAGACAGGGGCTTCCAGAGGTCGTTGAGGTTCAGTGAAGTCCCGAGGGCTGTCGCGAGTCCAACACGGAGGATGCATTCACTAGAAGAGGAAGAGGCCCGAGGTGTGCGTGCCTGGAGGGAAGACTGAGGACCCAGCAGAGGGAGGCCACCTGCCGGACAGGGAGGGGCCCAGGAGAAACCAGCCGCACGGCATCCTGCCATTGGACGTCCAGCTTGTAAAACTGCGAGATGATGCTTAGGTCAGCTCCTGCCAGGCAGGGACATGCAGTGGGGCCCTAGCAGAGCACGGCAAAGAGCGTTTTAAGACTTTCATCACACTCTCTTGGTCACATGGGTTCAGTAGACATTTCCCTCTGTGAGCCTGAGCCGCCCAGGATTACTGAAGTGTTTGAAGAAAGAAAAAACAAAGGGACCCACCCCATTTAAAGGGACCCAGGAGGGACACCTTTCAGGAGTGGCCCAGCTGAGACCGTCCAGCGGAACAGATGGGAGGTGTGTCCCCCACTCCTGGTCTCGCAGAGCCTCCTGGAGGGTCCCAAGGTGCCTCTCCCCTGTGTCTGCCATGAGTGATAGGCCTCCTCCGTGCCCGCGGCTCCGCAGGGCTGTGTTCTGATCCCACAGAGAGATGGCAATGTTTTCCAGCTGTCTGTCTCCCCTGCGCCATTGACTTACTATTTGAAAGTTAAATCAGACACCTGGATGGTGGCCAGGTGTTGGGAGTTCGTCCCCTCTTCCAGCTCTCAGGGTATGTACCTGTTTATTTACTGATAAGTAGACCTGTTCCCCGCTGCACGTCACAAATAATCCGGCAAATCCTCGAGATTTATTGCAACGATTGATTAGAAAAGTCAATGTTGTACATGAAGGATTAAAAAAAAGAAATATTTGGAATCTACTTAAGTATCCGTTATCTCCGAGGCAGTCTTGACTCCCTTAAATCTGTTCTGCCAGAGACACAGCAGGGAGGAGAATTCCACCTTCCACGCTGTGTGGCCCAGATTGCCAAGAGAGCACCAGCCGGCGTCCAAACGACACTGATCCTAACCTGAGTTTACCCACTGATTGGTGGTGTGGCCTCAGTCAAGTTACTTAATGTTCCCCAGCCCCAGATTGCTCATTTTATATTGTGATAAAAACACATAATGTAAAATTCCTCCCCTGTATCAGCTGGGGTCTTCCAGAGCAACAGAGACAAATGTTCTTGTGCCTCTATCATCATGAAGGGGGATTTGTGGGATTGGCTAACACAGTCGGAGGCTGGGTCCCCACAGTGGCCATCTGCAGGATGGAGAGTTGGAGGAACCAGTAGGTGCTCAGTCCAAGATGCTGGAGCCTCAGAACGAGAGGGGTCCAGATGCCACCCCAGCCCCGGACCCAGGTCTGCAGGAAGCTCCCTGCAGAGTTGCTGGTCTGAGTCCACCTTGGAAACGCGGAGGAGCTGAGTTGGATGTCCTCCAGTGACCACGACAGGTGGTCTTGCCCACCATTCAGACATCATAAAAAGACCCACCATGACCTTGAGGAATTGGCCTTTTCTCTGGTGGGAGGGAGGGCAAATGAGCAGGTAGTGGCCGTCTGAGGGAGCTGGGCTAGGGGGAGAGAGAGGCGGGTCAACCCAGGGCAGGGGGCGCGGGACCCGGGGTGCAGCCCAGTCTTCCTGAGTGGCTCTGTCAGCACAGAGCCCTTGACGCTGTGCCATGCGGCCCACGCAGGGGTCTCCTGGACTCCCCCCACAGCTCCTAGCTGGGGTGAACCACGCCTGTCCACACACACACCAGCCCTTCTCTTTCCTCCAGATGGACCTGCCCACAGCACCTGCTGCACGTCGAGTGGTATTTTGAGTTTGTAAAAAAAAAAAAAAAATGTTCTAGTTGCATATTTAGTACTTGCAGCTGTCTCTTGTCACGCCCTTGATCAAGGGGCACAGTGATAATCCGACAGGCGTTACACTCATGAAACGCCAACTGTGTACGTTCAGCGAGGCTGAACACTGTGGAAGGCAGGGGAGAGTGAGCTGAGGTCAGCCACTTGCTCCCCGCAGCCTCCCTGCTCCATGTGGCTTCTGTCCCACAGAACCTCCTGGCTCCCCGTCCCTGTGGCCCTTCCCTGCACACCATACACTGCCTCCTTCCGTGGCACCATCACGGCTCTCCTCAGCGGCCCTGCTTCTCCCTGTGCATGACCACTTCCTGCCCCATCCAAGCTCTGGTCTTCTTGAAGGCAGGGGTGCTCCCTGGTTTGATTTTGGATGACATCTTTCACAGTCTAGCGACTCAACAAATGGTCTGAATTCATAAGAAATAGTTCTTGTTCCTTGCAGCTTGCGATCCTCTGCTGACTGCAGACCCAAGTCCGGGCTCTCCAGCGAAAACGGCAAAGGTTTAGCATCAGGCATCCCTCCCTCCGTCAGCTGGCCTGATTCCTTCACTACGTGTTAAATATTTCAGGCTCACTCATTTATCTGAAAAAATATTCATTGGCATTAATATTGAAAGCACATAGAGAACCCACTGCATGCCAGGCTCCGATGCTCAGGATAACAGATGAAAGGGTTAGCCTCGGTTCCTGCCCTGGGAGAATGTTCAGGACAGGGAGGGACCAACGCTGAGAACTTAACCCAGAAATGCAGACTCTGGAGAGGCTCCGAGAGAAGCCAACAGTGTGCTGTCAGCCTAACGGGGGTCTCCCAGTGTTTCCTCTTGCGGGGTGGTTCTTAGGGCCCCTCTGCCTTCACAAGTCCCATGTGGGCTATAACCCGAGACTGACTTCTGGGACCCTGTTCTGGGCTCCTGTGGGTCTGCCTGGTGCTGCAGAACCCTTCACCTGCATGGACTCCAGCCCGCAGGGCTGCTCCCGGCCTGCACACTGCTCCCCGGAACATGAGCCACAGACGGGACAGAGCTGTAGCCACCAGGCCCCCCGTCAGCAGCCTGCAGGCACAAAAACATGTCCTTCTGGTTGGGAGAAGAAGAAGAAGTCCTGCCCAGGACCCGAGCCAGGGCGGATGGCAGTGGGCTGGTGGCAGGGTGCCACAGCCATTTGGCACTCGCCCTGGCTGGGCTGACTTGGCTTGACCCACCCCCTCCCCTCTCCAAAATCCCCAACCATGGGGACAGGTTGGCGTTAGGTTGTGTTTAACGCACTTGTACCGATTCAGGCTTGTCTTGGTGGTGCTCAGAGTCGGGTCCCCGAGTTCCTCACAGTGCAGCAGGCTCCCTTCTCCTGAGACGACACCCCTCAGTGGGGTCTCAAGGTGGGCAAGTTTAGGTGGCAGCTGAGTTGCCATGCAGCCTGAATGGTCCTGAGGGGCTGGAGGGATCAGAAGGGATGGATGTTTGGGAGGCTATTTTTTACATATTAACTGGAATCCTGAGCAGTCCCGTCTGGTAATAAGGCGATTCCCATTTTCACATAAGGGCAATTGAGACACAGGAGAGAGAGGGAAGTTGGCCAGGAGCTGACTCTTGGAGGACATTTGTGTTTTGCTGAGTGATGTTGAAACAGAGTGCAGCCTGCCATAGAGAAGTGTGCCTAGAGCTACGGCTCTGTAACCAGAGCGGGCATCAGAATGACTTGGAAGGCTCATGTGAACAGGTTGCTGACCACCTTAGTGTTGGGCTCCCTGGGTCTGGGGTGGGGCCTGAAAAATGTCCATTTCTACCAAGTTCCAGAGGCGGGCGGCTGGCCAGGGACCACTCTCCATACAGCAGGGATTGGCCAGAGGAGAAGGGATTCCCAGTGCTTCAGAGGCAGGTGAGCCATGGCTTCCTGGGGAAGGGGGCATCTGGGTTGGGCATGGAAGCCAGTGTAGGAGTCCCCTCCATCACTCTGGGTTACGGAAGGCAAGACCAAGTAGGCACTGTGTTCAGACTTACGGGTACCAGACAGGTTCAGGTGGGGTGGTCAGTGAGCTTGTGTGTTGGGGGTGGCTGGGCAGAGCCCACACAGGCTGGGGACTGACTGGTGACTCGGGGGCCAGGTGGAAAGCCACTCTAAAGAGTCCAGACCTCATCCTCTGGGTACCAGGCTTTGAATCAGGAGTAATATAGTCCCCTTTGCCTAATTGTGCACTAGTAGTTCATTCATTAGAGCTAAAAAGGTATTAATCACAAACTGCAGGGAGGAATGTCGGGGTACAGAAAGCTCACTGTACAAATAATAATGATGAGTGGAATTGGGGGGCACACACTTCGGCCAGAGTTGTGGGATTTACCTGCATTTGCTTCCCAATACATTTTTCCACGGACACGGCTCTCATCCCATTTTAGAGATGAAGAAACAGAGGTTCAGGAAGGCAAAGACATACTGCTTGATAGTATCCGAGCAGGTTCCAAGTGTAAAAGCTCCTTCTTGTGGCTCTACCCTTGCTGTCCATCATCTCTGAGTTCAGGAACTGAATCTCTACCTTCCCTTCACCCCATACGTGTTGCTGCCCTAGGGACCTGTGCCAGTTGCACCTGGCCGAGGCAGCCCAGGCCCTCCCCACGATCCCCTTTCCCTGGCTGGTGCCCTCCCCACAAAGGCACGGGGCCAGCCGGGGCTGCGGCTTGTCCTCAGAGGCTCTGTGGTCTGCATAGTGCAGGAATGCCATCCCGAGGTCCCCGTGGGACCCGTCGCTGTCAAACCAGAAGCCTTTTTTTATTCTTGCCAACTCAGGGCTTTTCAGATCTTTAAGGCTGATCAGAGATAGAGCTCGACAATAGCCGGCTTCAATCTCAGCACGCGGGGAGGCCAGGCGCGGCGAGGCAGCACGCGTCAAATAGAGTACACGGTCTCTTTTTGGGAAGATAAAACATAACTCTTGGTCGGCGCCGCACAATGAAAGCCCTTGGAGAGCCGAGGAGATCTTTGTCGGGGATTGTAACTCATTTAGCTCCATTGTCTCACCGAGCTCGCGCAGAATGAAAGCGATTCATCTTGCTTTTGTTTCCGGGTGCCTTTTATTTCCCGTCTCAGATATTTCTCTTCCATTAGCAGAAGCAGTGCTTCCTCTCCCGTCTCTTCTCCAACGCGACTTTCATCCTCAACGTGTTTATGCTCGGCTCTCGCCGCCCGATTCAGTGATTTTTCTTTTTCTTTCTTTTTATTTTTTTTTTTCATTTTGCTAAGTGGTGATTTAGATGATACAGGCGACACTGCTGAGAAGTGCATTTTTCAAAAATGTTTTAATGATCCCGTTCCTCGGATGTGTGTGTGTGTGTGTGTGAGTGTGCAGATGTGTGACTCTGGTGTGTGTATGTGTGTGTGTGTGTGTGTGTGTGTGTGTGGTGCATATCAGTCCACAGAGAGCACCATCATTTATTCACTCAGGAAATAACACTTTGAGCCTCTGCCAATGGCATCGCCCTGCCGAGGACATAGCAGTTGCTAAGGGTCTGCTGCTGCCCTGAGCATGCTCACGCACACACAGACGCACACACAGACACCACACGCACCTTGATTAATTACGGCGCAGGAGTTAAGGAGCAAAACTGCAAGATAAGAGATGCCCAGGGACAAATTTGGAGGCGCTGTTCCCTGCCTTTGGAGAAGGAAGAAGATTTGTAATGAACATTCATAATTCATTAGGAATTTGATCGGAGGCTGCCTGGAGACACAGGGCTGACGTGCACCTCCTCGGTGGCCCTGCATCTGCCAGGTACCGGTAGCTCTAGGACAGGAGCCTTTGACTTCAACAGGGTGAGAGGAGCCCAGGTCACAGCAGCTGAGTCACTTTCAAAAAGCTGGGCCACCCGTGTGTGCCAGAGCAGGCTTCGATCCTGGTTCTCTTGACAGTGGAGAATTGCTGGGATTTGGAAGGTGTCCAGGGCTGGGAGGCCAGACCAGATTGGTCACAAGTAACTGACCAGTGCTTCTTGTGTTAATCTTCTGGAAGTTTCTCCCCGATCCTTGCCCCTTCTGGGACATCTCAGTCCGAGTCCAGCTGTGTGACCTGGATGTTGCACAACCAGCTGGACAAGCTCTTGTGATCCCACCTCCGTGTGAGTGGCATTGGGAAGGGACTATTGGCTATTTTATTCTAAAGGATGACTAGGTTAGCTTTGTGACACTGTGACTAAAATACTCTCTAAGGACAATTGCGGGAGGAAAATTCCTTTGGGCTCATGGTTTCGAAGGTTCAGTCCACGACCAGCTGATTCCATTGCTCTGGGCCCAAGGGGAGGCAGAACACCATGGTGGAGGGCATGGCAAAGGGGAGGTCACCAGCTCATGGTGGCCAGTGAGCAGGGAGGAGCCAGGGACAAGACACAGTCCCAGGACAGGCCTCCAGTGAACTACTCCCTCCAGCCATGCCCCACCTGACGACAGTTACCAGCCAGTATCTCCTTTCAAATTCTCAATCCAGTCAATGGATTAACCTACTGATGTATTGATCCCATCTACATGAGCTATAGGGGACATTCCAAATCCAACCATGACCATGATGCACTGGGAATGCGCCCATCTGTGTGGATTGCGATGAGGCTGTGGCCTTCCTCATCTGCTACCCCTGCAGAGAGAGGTGGCCAGCAAGCTCCTCTGGCTCTCTCTGCCCAGGTCTCTCGGGCTTTCCACTCCCTGGGCCTCAGGCAGAGAGGTGAGATGAGCCAGGCAGTGCTACCAGGGCCATCGTAGCATGGCCTTCCTCCTCCCAACTCCTGTACTCACTGCCTCCTTGCTGGCTCTCCTCCTCCAGGGTAAAGGCAGATGCCCCCAGGCCAGGCTCCGATTCTGAGGACTCCCCTCCCCTCCAGGGCTCTGAATGATCAATGCACATTCAACACACCTACACTCTTAAAAATCAGTCATGCGCAGAGGGACACACACCCAGACACACACACAGTACTCAAAGTCACATGTCCACACATGCATTTATCATTCAAGGTCACGCACGTGTACACATATTGTTCATATGTGCACATACAACATTCATGTGCAGTGCAGCACACACATACACAGTTTTCGGAATCACGTGTACACACGCACACATACACATGCAGAGACCATTTGGAGTCATTTATGGACGTATCTCCACGCCTACCACCAGGACATACATTTTGCATTTTTATTTTTACCCTAGATCTCCTCCTCGAGCTCACAAATCCAGCTGCCTAGGCAAATCCACCACAGGGTGCTGAAGAAACACCAGACTCCCAGGACCCACGCAGAACTACTGTGTTTCCCCTCAAAAATATCAGTCTCCCAGAATTTCCGGTTTCCTCCAGATCCCTCCAGTGTCTGTGTGGTTGCTCGGCACTCACCCTTCAGTGTCTCCCCTGCCTTGATCCAGCCCTCAGTAACCCCATCGGCTCCAGTTCCTCCCAGACACATCCGGACCCAGACACTTGTCCCTGTAACCTGCTTAACCCTTACCTGGGCCATCTGTGACAGGCTGGAGGCTGCCTCGTTCTCTTCTGGTCCACACTCCCTGTGCAGGAGAATGGTCAGGCCCTCCCGTGGGCTTCCACTGAGAGCACAAGGCAAACGCCACCACGGCCTCCTGTCATCTGGTCCTTCTCTGTCCCCCAGCTGGCCTCCCTCATCACCCACAGCTGGGCACACATCTGCTCCTCCCAATGCCCGGCCCTTGCCTTTCCTAGAGCCTTGGCAGTCAGTCCGTCCCTGGCCTGGAGCACTGTGCAGCTGGCTCACGTCCAGGGCTGGCTCGTGTCCATCTTTCAGACTTCCTCTGAGACACCCTCCTGACTCCAGCGCTGAGCAGCCCCTCCGGCTCTGCGCAGGTCTCTAATTGATCTTGGTCACTCTTGGGGACCTGAAATGACCTTTTCCACTCATCTCTGTGACCGTCGATTCTTTGTCCGTGTTTTCTCCTGAAGCTTTTAGAGTTTGCCCTCCCATGTTTTAGTCTTTCTTCCAGCTTGAATTCACTTTCATGCATGGTGTGAGGTAAGGGCCATCACCAGCCGTCTGCTGGACATCAGATCTCCCCACAGCTCCCGTTAGAAGGAATCACACTGGATGTTGTACTTGATTGTTCTCCACTGTTCTAACAAGGTACCTCCGTCTGGACACTTTACCAAGGACAAAGGTTTATTTTGTCACAGTTTTAGGGACTGAAAGTCTAGATGGTATGGTGTCAGCTATGACAAGGGACCCCAGCTGCTTCACGTCATGATAAATGCTACCCTAACAGGAGCACATGGGAAAGGCAGAGGTCACCTGGTAAGACAGGAAGGAAGAGGGATCAAGAGGGGGGCAGTACTGCTCTTTTGATGATCATAAAAGGGGGACTTATTAGGTTGGCTCACAAGACCGGAAGCTGGACAGTCCCCATGGCCGTCTGCAGGCCGGAGAGCTGGGAGAGCCAGTAGCTGCACCGTCCAAGCAACTGGAGCCTCAGGATGGGAAGAAGCCATGCTGCAGGCCCAATCCAGGACTGGGGGCTGCGAACTGCCTGGAGACCACCAGGCAGAGCCCCCTTTGGAAGAGAAAGGAGCTGTGGTCTGACGTCCTCAGGCCATGGCAGCAGCCACCAAGAACCCACTCGGGGAGAAGGAGCCGGCATTGGCCGCTCTTCCTTGTTCTTCCAACTCTTTGTTCCTGTCCAGGCCTCCGACCTATGGGACTGTGTGCCCCACTCAGGGTGGGTCTCTGCTTCCCTTCGCTGTCCACATGCCAATCATTCCCAGAAAGCCGCTCACTGAGTGTTAGGGTCTGTAAACAAGTCAGGATGGCGCCTGGCATTTTGCAGAGGGAGTGGTTTGGGAAGTAATGCCAGCGAGCCATTAAGTGTGGAGATTCCTTATTGGTTGACTGCTGTATCTAGTTTATGTTAATTAAGATAAGCTGTGTGGAATATATATATACCCCTCCTGTCCTACAATAAACCGCTCCCACTCCTGCTGTATCAATGTACACAAGTTGCTCGTCACCCCCCGGTTATTTTGCCCAGCCAGCTGGGCTGCAGCAACTAAGACCCTTAGAATCCTCCGAATTGAATCTCATCACTGAGACCCTCAGAGGCCTCCGAATCTTAAGCGTCTCCTAACCCCATCAAGCTGGGCATTCAGATCAACCCCCACAGCCCACCCCTTGACCACCTGATACCTAAACATCCCTCTTTACATCTGCCTTAATCTCCAAGTGAACACAGCCACGGGGTCCTCAGGCCACCTGACATGAAGTAACTATTCTTTGGACAAGAAAAAATGCCCCAGTTCCTTCCCTAGAAGAAGAGGAAAAAGTTAAGTTTTTGAGTGGTGCTCACTCCTCTGACATCCCAACTCAAATGCTCTGATGCAGAGTTAGTGTCATGTTAAGTACTGATGTCGTCAATCAACGTTGCATCACAGGATGAGTGAAGAACAGGAGAGTGACAAAGTGTCTCCTAATGCCGGTGTGAACACGCACAGCGCGTCCCTAACAAGATGGACCGCCTCGCTCTTTTATGGCCCCTTCCTCCAAAACTAATCAGGGTCTGATGAGAACTAGTGTGGTCTCTCCGGAAGCAGCACCCAGAGAACCACGGAGGAGGCTCCACCTGCTAGAGTCACCTGCCACCTCCCAACATGGCCACGCAGGGAACCAAGTGTCATGTGGTGAACTTTTGGGGTGAACCATGTCCAAACCTAGGGACAGCCTTGGCTCCGCAGCCAACATCAATGAACTGCGCATGAGGCTCACTCCTGGGTTCTCTGTTCCATCGTCTCCAGGCCCTCAGGTTCCCCAGAGCTGGAAGGTAACTTCCTGCGGCAGGAGCTCCTCCTGGCTTCCTGTGGCCCAGCCCCTGGCACAGGGTGGCTCAGTGCCCTTCCAGCAGTGGCCTGGCCCGGCTGGTTCCTAGTTCTCAGATCCCCTGCATGTCCCCACACAGCCCATGATGGGCACGCTGCCTCCCCGGGGGCTGCTTCCTGGGTCCTGCTGTCCTCCTCCAAGCTCACCTCCATGCCAGCTGCTCCAGCTGACCTTGACTGACCTCTGTTGGCTCTGCCTGGATCTGGGGCTCGGGCGCCCAGCACTTTCTGTCTGCCGTTCCCTTCTTCCAGGTGTCGACTCAGCGGGTCCTTCGATACCGCTGCCTGCCTGTTCCTGTCCTGCTCAGAGCTGCCTGGCAGATCCCCAAAGACTCCTGCCTGCCTCTGGGATTCCCTTGCTTGACTGGAACCCGGGCCTGTCTAGAGCACAGGAGGACAAAGAAGAGGCCAGCGGGCTCTGTTCCAGCCTCGCCCCACGTCGGAGGCCCTCCTGTTCTTCTTCCAGTCTCATAAACAAGGCCTCAGTCAGGGCAGGAATCAGGGCAGGAGTGTGGCATTACGACATCACGTTCCCACCCCAAGCTCAAGGCCGGCCAACTCGGTTAGCTGGCTGGTAATAGCGGTTCCCGCTGTAGAATGCTGGCCGCAGAGATTTCACTCTGAGGAAGGTCACAGAAAGTGAACGGCAGTGTCACGCACCACGCAGAGCCACCTGCAAGCCCACCCGGAGCTGCGGCTCAGCACCCACCTGGCTCTCTGGCCAGAGCTTTGCACAGCTCTTTAATCTCCCTGAATCCTGGGGACTTGGTGCTGTGTGTTCACTGTGCCCGGGGGCTGTGGGCTGCCTAGGCTTTCCCTTCTGCGTCAGCCAGACCTTCCCAGCATTAAGACCAGAGAGGCCAGGAAAGTCCCCTGAGGAAACTCAGCACCTCCCAGACCATCAGACAAGCTAACGTCCGGGTGGGTTAGAGAAAGTGGGAAAGGCTCAGAATAAGCGGGAAGGAGAACAGCCAGGATTAGTGAGAAGTCAAAATGCCACCGTTCCCACCCTGGGTCCCCGGAGCAGGTGTTCCAGTTGAGCAGTCCTTAGAAGTTAACTCCACCAACCTTGTAATTTTACCGATGAGAAAAGCAAGAGCCATTCGGAGTGCGATTGTGTGTTCTAGGTCACAGGACCAATTAGCACACTTGCAGAGTTACTGCAAATGAGCCCCAAAGCACTTGCAGAACAAGCATCATCATCCAGAGATGGGGGATTTCAAAGTGGCACAGGGTGGGCCTTGAGGAGCTATGGACGCTCTTGTGTAAGGTGTTTGCATTTGTCTGTGATCTATACGACCCTTCCCCACCTGAGGCAGCATTAGAGTTCCAACAGTGAGTTTCTCATTTATAGTCCCAAGGGGCTTCTGAGTAGATACCAAACATCAGACTGTCCAACTGGATTCCAATGCCAAGGCAGAAACGTTGAATTCCACTCCTCTCAAAGCAACTTCTACTCCCTAGACCACCCTTAGCCCTAAGGTATGTTTGTCATCCCCGTCTTTTGGACACAAGGAGAGGAATTCTGTGCACAGAGGCCCCACATCTTGGCTCCTGGAATACACAGAGAACCTGTGTGCAGAACCACCAAGAGCTCATGTGGACGGAGCTGTGTTCCATATGGCCCAGAGATCTTGCATTTCCTTCAGAAGGACTCAAAAGAGGGCCGTCAGCAATAGGGCTGAGGAAGAATTGAGGAAGATGAGGTAGGTTGGCATGTAGATAAAGGATAGATAATAAGTGAATGGGTAGATGGATAGGTAGGTGGGTGGCTGGCTGGCTGAATGGATAGATAATGGATGGAAAGATGGATGGATAGATAGATAATGGATGGATGGATGAGTTAGTGGATACATAGATAGAAAATGGATAGATGGATGGATGAATGGATGGATATATAGATGGATGGATAGATAGATGGTTAGATAATGGATGGATGAATGAGTGAATAGACAATGGATGGATGGATGAATGGATGGATAGGTGGATGGATGGGTTGATAGGTAATGGATGGATGGATGAGTGAGTGGATGGATAGATAGATAATGGATGGATGAGTGAGTGGATGGATAGGTGGGTGGATGGATGGATAGATAAGTGAGTGGATGGATAGATAATGGATGGATGGATGAGTGAGTGGCAGATAGATAGATAATGGATGGATGGATGGATGGATGGATGAGTGGATGGATAGGTAGGTGGATGGATGGATAAATGAGTAACGGATGGATGGGTGAACAAATAGTACGTAGATATATATCTACCCACAGGCACATATAGCCTCCCTCACAACACAAAGAGCCATCATGGTTTTAAGCCACTAACTGGGGTGGCTTGTTAGGCAGCAGGAGCTACTCATTTGCCACCAGAGGAAGACAGAGAGGAAATAGGAGCAAGAGAACCAGCCAGCAGCAGCAAGAGTCGGAGTGACGAAGGCAGATGACACATAGGCCATCACGTGTCACAGGCCTCCTGGCTTTGACAAGACCCTCCCAGGTCAAGCTGACCTTCCCCACGCTCCCTGCTCCCAGAGCATCACACGTCCATGTTTATACTTCAGGATCCGCCTTTGCCCCCTGCCCCGCCTCTGACTGGGTACTCACCCACCCCACGTACCCTAGTTGAGCTGCGTCATTAACCCCGTAATTGTCACCCCTGCTCTGTGTCAGTTGCTCCTGTTCATCTCTTAGATCTCACCTGCCCCACCTCCTTGGTCTGGGACTAGGTTCCCTGATTCTGTCCCCAGTGGTGTCTGGACAAGCCCTGCTCCAACGGAAGGCACCACCCCGTCTGCGGAGTGTTGGTGCCGGACCAGCCGCGGTGTCCCGTCCTGACCCTCACATCTGGGCACTTCCTGCAGCCCACAGGCCACCTCCAACCCTGCGGAATCCCACCATTTCCCTCTGTGCTCTAACCTGTCCTCTGGCAACTCAGGGCGTCACTTACTGAGCATCACAAACTTCTGCCTGCCACTGAGTCACTATGTGACTCAGTGCCTCTCTCCGCCTGACCCCATGTTAAGGGCAGCTTTTCCGAGTCAGCGGCTGCTTCTTGCCAAGGATCACTAAGAACCTTCCCGCCAGGGTGGATGACGCCCAAGCAAGACTTATCAGCTTGTGAATCCTTGGCGCAGGGGGCTGTGCCCGGGACTGTTTTAAAGGAGCCAGACTGCACTCGAGTCCTGGAGAGGCACTTTGTATCTGAGAAAAAAAATAAAATAAGTCCCTTTTCTGCACTCCAGTAAATGAAAGGGCCACGCTATTAAATAGCAGTGGGGAAAACTAGCTCTTAGGGGAAAATGGAGACCCAGTGAGACAAAGGCAGGGGGAGGATGATGTCACCACCACAGGACACTCGTGTCCATCGGGAGCGAGGCTGGAGAGTCTAAGTGCCAGCCAGTCTAGCACCACTTGCCTCCATACAAAGTGCTTCTGATTCTCAAGTCTGCACGTCTTTGGGGTGTTTCAAACCTGGGTATTTAAAGGGATTTAGTGATCCCACAACGTGCACGTAGATCAGCCTGTCATTTTGGATGCCATGACCACACACGATTCTTATGTGCCAATTAAAATGAATAATAAGTAAGATAAAGAGATGGTCTAGAACAGGTCCTGGGATGTCAGTGGGTGTCCTCTTACAGTTGCCTGGTGTGCAAGGAAGGTCTGTTCTTGGCCTAGAGTCTGCAGCAGTCTCTGCCTCCAGGATGTGGCACACGGTCGGGGTTCATTAAATCCTTCCTGAGCACCCCCCCCCACACACACCCAGGCCCCATGCCTTGCTGCAGGCAAGCTAGACAATCGCATGTAATGCAAAACTCGCGGGCTCCGGGCAGACATTAGCATGGGGTGTCCCAGGTCAGCCTCACACCAGCTCCATTTCTGCATGTGCTGCCGCTGTCCTGGGCTCCCGGATGTTAGGACCTGATGGATCCCATCTAGGAAGCACCAGCTGAGAACCCTGAGATGTTTCAAGAAGGATGCAATGTCAGCCTTCCACCCCAAGTCAACAGGAACCGTGAAGGGGCCGCGTGCAATCTTTGTTTATACATACATCTGATTTACGTTTTTCCTTCATGTGATTTTTATGAAAGTTAGTTAACATATAATAAAACACCTTTATAAGACTTTGGGATCATGCAGGAAGACTTTCTAATACATGTGATAGATCAGAATAACAACAGCCTAAGCAAGAAAACCTTTATGTTTCACAAATAACAGAAAGTTGTAGGTAGGTGTTTCCAGGGA